GCTGGTTTTTGGGTTGTTTTTGGGCTGTTATTGGGCTGTTTTTTTGGCCGTTTTTGGGCTGGTTTTGGGGCTGTTTTCAGGTTGGTTTTTTGGATTGTTTCAGGTCATTCTTTTGGGCCGTTTTGGGGCTGGTTTTTGGGCTGTTTTTCAGGTCGTTTTTTTTTTTTACTGTTCTCAGGCTGTTTTTGGGGTCGTTTTGGGCTGTTATTGGGCTGTTTTTTTGGCCGTTTTTGGGCTGGTTTTGGGGCTGTTTTTCAGGTCGTTTTTTTTTTTACTGTTCTCAGGCTGTTTTTGGGGTCGTTTTGGGCTGTTATTGGGCTGTTTTGGGGGGCGTTTTTGGCCTGTTTTTTGGCCTGTTTTCAGGTCGTTTTTTTGAACTGTTTTCAGGCTGTTTTTCAGGCCAAAACCAGAAGAGCAGTTGGCGATGGTGTGTGTGTGTCCACAGAGAGCCATAGGCTCACCATCACGGGTATAGAGTTTCCAGTCTGAGCTGGGGGTTGGACTAGAAGACCTCCAAGGTCCCTTCCAGCTCTGATATTCTGATATCTCGGTTGCCTTTTCCCATACAGATCTGGGTTGCTAAATGTGCCTATCGCGTAGAAGCAACACCAGTGGTGGGTTTAGGCTGGTACAGCCGTACCGGTAGTAGCCGGGAGCAGCTGACAGCATAGCGGTACGGTGGCTCATTTGGCCCACCCGCCCGCGTTCTATACCGGTTTTTAAAGCAACCGGCCAATCGCGCATGTGTGCACATGTGGCGCCTGCGTGAGCTCTGACAAGCAGCTGGGTGTCCCAGGGGCGGTAGAGTGCACACGTCACAGTGCGTGTGCACGGAAGGATATACGGCCCCGCGAGCAGTGTACCTACCGATAGCGACGGAGAGAGGAACCCACCACTGCGCAACACCCCATGTTACTGCTTAAGAGCAGGAAGTCCTTGTGTTTTCTGTGTAGTCTTTGATTTACAACGGTTCCTTTTGTGACGGAAGTTACGACGACACTCAAAAAAAGGGGACTTAGGACCATTTTTCACACCGACAGCCGTCGCAGCCCCACCTGTGGTCCACCTTCAGACGTCGGGCAACTGACTCGTGTTTATGACGGTCGCAGTGTCCCAGGATCACAGGATCCCCTGGGGGCCAAACTCACTTAGCAACCGTCTGGCTTAGCAACACAAATGCCGGGCTCCATTGTGGGTCGTAAATCAAGGACTCCATTGCCGGAGAAAATCTGGAAACCTCTCCGCCTGCCTGATTTGCATGAAACTTCTTTTGTTCATGAAAGATGGGTGTTTATTTTGTGGGAAAATTTGTTTTGTGTTTCCTCTTACAGCCTGCAAGTGCAACGGCCACGCCTCCATCTGCAACACCAACACCGGGAAGTGTTTCTGCACAACCAAAGGGATCAAAGGAGAAGAGTGCCAGCTGTGAGTGGGGAACCCTTGGGCAGCCCGTAACTCTGCGCACTTCCGTCCTTGGGGACCGAAGCACCAACCGAGGAGAACATCTGGAGCCCCGGGGTTGGAAGGAGGAGTCCTTGGTGCTCTCGGAGCTGGGTCGGCTTTCTTTGAAGACGTCCCATGACCCCACTGGGCTACATCATCCGTTCTAGAAGGGAGCAGGGCACGGGTGTCAAATCTGTGGCATCACATGACCTTTCATGGTGTTTTTTTTCCCCTTTGTGGAACTGGGGTGGCCTGTGCATGGCGCCAGTTTTGACACCCATGGAGGAGGCTGTGGGAGGAGGAGGGCTGAGGTGCTCTCTGAGCTTGGTCGTTTCCTTGCAGATGATTCATGGCCCAACTAGGTAACATCATCAGTGCTGTAGTAAGTGTACAGTAACCAATAACACTGTTGAGACGGAGGATGTTACTTAGTTGGACCACAAAAGGTCAGCAAGGAAACAGCAAAGCTCAGAGAGCATCAAGGAACTGCACAGTCTTCCTCTTCCTCCTCCACCACCATTGTTCTCACCCCTCCACCTCTTTTTCCAGTCTGCAAACCCCGCTCCCTTCTAACATTGAGGATATTATGTAGTTGGGTCATGAAACGCCTGCAAGAAAACTACCAAGCTCAGTGAGCACCAAGGACTCTACAGTCCTCCTCCTCCTCCTCCTCCTCCTCTTCCTCCTCCTTTCTTCTTCTTCTTCCTCCTCCTTCTCTTCTTCCTCCTCCTCCTCTTACTCCTCCTCTTCTCCTTCTTCTTCCTCCTCCTTCTCTTCTTCCTCCTCCTCCTCTTACTCCTCCTCT